GACCGACCGTCCCAGCATTCCTATAGTCCTACCACGAGATGTTCTTGGAACCCCACAATGTTCGAATAACAAGAACAATGTGCTTAGAACAGAAACCCGATATGAAAAACAACAAAACTGACTCCGCCAGAAATGTGAAACGTCAAAAGGTTATTGAAACAGTGTTTGGCAGGGCAGTAGGCGAGCCAGAACGCTTCGTCACTGCTTGACTCTGGCTAATCCGGAAGACGTGCGAATACGCCACCGCGAGCTTGTCTGCAGAGACCCCCTTCCTTCAGCGTGGAGCGCGGCGAGCAGCGCGGGCCGCAGGTACTTCCAAGGTCGCCAGCGGACGCTGGTGAAGCAATGATTTAAGAGGAGGAGCAGGGGGAGGAGGAGGCAGGAGGTAGGAGGAGGAGGAGGAGGAGGAGGCCGAGGAGGAAGAGGAAGAGGAGGAGGAGGAGGCTCAAAATCGGCCCACCCTACGGACGTTCAATAGATCGTCGACCCCCCATCCTGATGGAGGAACCGACGACGACGGAGACGACAACGACGACGACGACGACGACGACGCCGGCGGTGACGACGACCACGACGACCACGAAGGCTGGCGACGACAACGACAGCAACGACCCCCCAAAAAAGCGAACATGTGATCTAACAAGCTGCTTGAACGCTCCGCTGCTCCTGCCTCTCCCGGGTACCCACACGCTGAGCCTACCTTGGGGGGGCCTCCTCTCATGATGAGCCTGCTTTCCACCACCACCACCACCACCATAAGTTGGAGGGGGGGAGAAGGAGGAGGGCGAGGAGGAGGAGGACGAGGAGGAGGAGGAAGAGGAGGACCCCACCCCCTCCAACCTATGGTGGTGGTGGTGGTGGAAAACACGCCGATCATCTCATACCAGAGCCTGGGAGAAGCAGTCAGCAATGCACTCAGTGTGTGAGGGGGGGGAACCAAAGGGTACCGATGCCGCTGCTCCCCCGGCCTCCCATGGGGTGCGCTCTGACCAGACTTTCGAGGCGAATCCGGCGGTGGCGAGGAGGGCCTCCGAGGAGGCCCAGACAGGGGAAACCGAGGGAGGGAGGCCCAGACAAGGGAAAACGAGGGAGGGGAACACGAGGGGAAAACGGGGGAGGAACCCCAGACAAGGGGCCAACGAGGCATGGGTACCTCCTCCTCCGCCGAGCGTGCGCACCGCGCCCCCGTGGCCGCCACGCGACCGCACGCGGCCGCGGGCAACTCTTCTCCGCTGGAGCGGGTTGCGAGAACGGTCTCGGGAGGGCGCCGCTGCGACGCGCGGGGGCCGCCAGGCTGTCTCAGTGAAAACTGTCAGGACGCATCGAGAGGGAGCCGTTGCGGCCGCAGCTGCGCCTAGAAATTTCTCTCGAGAGTACCGTGCCTGAGTGTCATACAGCCGGCCTGTGTCACAAGGCTGCGCGATAAGGATGCAAGGGCCTCGGACGCCCATGTCGAAGCTTCTCGAGCGGGGCACGGCCAGTGAAACTGGCCCAGAATGGACAGAGGAGGCAAGGATGGAAGGGTATCCTTGGGAAGGTTGCCCAGCATTACTATGCGGGCTGACTATAATGCATATACGTCCAGGGCGCATGCGAGTAAGCAAAGTTAAGTACCGAGCGAGAGCCGCTGACGTCGCAACTGGGCCTTCACCTATTTTGATGAATTGCGAGGAAGTCTCGGGCGAGACTGCCGTTCCTGAGGGGCTTCTCTGGCCAGGGCGCAGAGGAGTAAAATTGAGAGGATGCCTCACGCGAGAGCGGTTGTCCTCGCAGCTGGGTCGTCACCACCTTGCGTGACGTGCGAAGTATGCACGCTCGGGCGAGAGCGCCGTTCATGAGCTAGGGGGCCTTCCTGGCCAGGGCGTGAGGAAGTACCCAGCGGGAACCATTGTCGCAAATGGGCCGTCAGGGGCCGGAATGGGGGACCAATCCCGCGCTCGAGCAGGAGCCCGGTTTCAAAGCAAATGCAGCCGGCGTCGAGGCGCGAGCGCCCATGCCCGTTCTCCTAGAGCAACAATGAATAATCTCCAGGAGTGAACATTCCACGACGACGGCGACGACGACGAGAACAGCCACGCCGACAGCGAAAACCACGACGACGAGCACGACAATGACGACCCCTCCGAAACCGATCCCTGGACCTCTCCTGGGGGTGTGCGTTGACCCGGAATTCAAGAGGGAAACGCTCCGGCAGTGGCATCGAGAAGGCCCCCCCACAGGCCAACCCTGAAAAGAAAATCGCTCAAACACTTTGTGATCTGCGGGGCGAGAGCGAACCTCTTCCGCTAAAGGCTAATCAAAAAAAATCGCTGAACACACATCCTACAGCGATCAATGGACCTCGAACGATCGACGATCGACGACGGCGACGAAGACGAGGACAACGGCGACGACGGCGACGACCCAGGCGAACGGCGGCGACGGCGGCAGCGACGAAGGCCTCGACGACGGCGACGACCCCCGGGACTCTCCGAGAGCCTCCGAGAGCCTTCCAACGCCTTCGAGAGCCTCCGAAGACCTCCGGAGACTCGAAAACAGTAGAGGAATCGCCGACGACGAAGACGACGAACCTCTACTCGGAATCGGTTCCCGACTTCTCTGTGGACCCCTCCTGGGGTCCATCCTGGACAGTTCTTCGCCTAGAGGCTTCCTGGAAGCGATCTCAGCAGATGGGGTCGGAGGATGGCGCGGCATCGTTGATGCATCGCCGATGAACCAGCGGTGTCGGCGATGCATCGCCGACGAAGGCGTGCAGAAAATGGGGCTCCACATCGAACTGCATCGGCGATGCATCGGTGGTGCGGCGCCATCCTCCGACACCACCTGCTCCGGCTCTCGACCCTCGACCCTTGACCGAGCCCCGAGCCCGCACGAACCTCGACCCTCGGTCGATCCTGAAGCCTCGATCGATCCCCGCTACTCGATCCTCGGCCAGCCCTCGATCCGTCCTCGAGCCCCGACTGGCCCCCACTGGGAGGCCCGCCGAGCTCGCCACCGCAGGCCCACCTCGGCGGCCACGGGGCCGCTCCCGAGGGTACACGAGGCCCCCTTGGCCTGAAGCCGAACGAGCCCCCCCCCCGCCCCCCCCAAGTGATGGTTCGTGTCCTTGACCACTATGTCGAATGCAGCCCACAGTAGGCTCAAGTCGGGCCTGTCCCCCTACGGGGGGATTTTCGACGACAAATAATACAACAGACCCCCCAAATACCCCAAAAAGTTATAAAAAAGACTCCAAACATAGTCCCCAGACTATGTTTGGACTATTGTTGGATTATGTTTAGATATTTTTAACTATTCGTCGAAAGTCCCCCTGTAGGGGGACGCGCCCGACTTAACAGTAGGCTTCTCGGCGCAGTAGCGCCGCCGTCTTGGCCTTGAAACCCTCGTCGAGCTCCATAGTCGATGGGACGGGCCGCGGTCGTCCAGGGGGCGAAGAGAACCTCAAAGGGGCAAGGGAAGGGCCTGCCTACCCCCCCCCCCCCAGGCCGCGGCGATCCCGACGACCCTCCTCCGTCGGTCCCTCCCCTCGTGGTCGAAGAGAACATCAAAATGGCAAGGGAAGGGTCTGCTTACCCCCCCCAGGCCGCGGCGATCCCGACGGCCCTCCTCCGTCGGTCCCTCCCCTCGTCGTCTTCCCCTCGTCGTCTTCCTCTCTCGTCGTCGTCTTCCTCCGCTCGTCGTCTTCCTCTCTTCGTCTTCCCCTCCTCCGTCGGTTCCTCCCCTCCTCGTCGTCGTCTCGGCCGTCTTCCGCTCCTCGGGCCCCTAACCGGCGGTCCCTCCGTCGCTCCTGCGGCTCTGTCGCCTGGGCCCTGGCGCTCGACTCTGGCCCACGCCCACGCAACGTCGATCGATGCTGGAGCCTCGCTCGAGTACCGATCCTCGATCTAGGCCGGGCACGTCCCCCTACGGGCGGATTTTGGAGGAAACGCTAAAAATATCCCCCCCCCAAAACAAGGAACATCAGATATTCAAGAATGATGAACAAAACAGTCCCCAGACTAGTTCTCTACCATGTTTGAAAAGATTCCCCCTCTGAAGGGACAGGCCCCACTTCATCCTCGATCCTCGATCGACCGATCCTCGATCCTCGATCCTCGATCGATCCTCGATCCTCGATCATTTTCGAACATTCTCGATCCTCGATCCTCGATCATCCTCGATCCTCGATCCTCGGTCATCCTCGATCCTCGATCCTCGATCATCCTCGACCTCGATCCTCGATCCTCGATCATCCTCGATCCTCGATCGATCCTCGATCCTCGATCCTCGATCCTCTGCGACCCCCCATCGATGCTCGGACCGCAACCGGGGAGGCCCGGCTCTCCGCGCCGCCGCCCCCGAGGCTCAAGGGACCCCGCGCGGCCCTGCGGGGACCTTCGCACCCAGACATCCGGCGTCCCGATTTTTTCGAGGCACTGGACCCCGATCTCTCGACCACATGCGGATATGAGGATGGTGAGGAGGGGGGGGGGAGGAGGAGGAGTAGGAGGAGGAGGAGGAGGAGGAGGAGGAGGAGGAGGAGGAGGCGGAGGAGGAGGCGGAGGCGGAGGAGGAAGAAGAGGAGGAGGAGGAGGAGGAGTTGGAGGAGGAGTTGAAGGAGGAGGAGGAAGAGGAAGAGGAGGAGGAGGAGGAGGGGGAGAGGGGGAGGGATCGGCAGCATCAGCAGAAATCATCGCCACTTCCATCGCCTCGATTCGTCCCGAGTCGTTCCTGACGGCCGCGAGGCCCGGTGAGGGCCTCGGAGAGGCCGAGCACTGTACAACTAGCCTCCGTCCCGATTCCCTCGAGACGCCAGATGTCTCCAGATGTCTGGGAATCGGCGGCGACGACAGGGGCGAATAGCCCAGGGGCGGGCATTACACGTATTCGCCCGGGAGCCTTGTCGAAGACATTGATCATCGGCGCACCTGGATACATGTATTGCTCTCCCCTGGGCTATTCGCCCCTGTCGTCGCCTCTGTTTCTGTGAAGGCCCCCCCCCTGCAGAGCCCCCCCGGCGCCCGCGAGCGAAGCGGCGGGGCCGTCCAGCAGGGAGGCGTGGGCCAGCAGCAGCGGCAGGACAGCCTCTCGGGACTGCGAGGCGGGGTGCTCTCGTTTGGTTAAGGGGGAGGAGGGGGCGACTCCTGCAGGAGGAGAGGAGGGAGGGAGGGAGGGACAGAGGGAGGGAAGGGGGGACGGAGGGAGGGAGAAGGACGAGGAGAAGGAGGAGGAAGAGAAGGAGGAAGAGGAGATGAGGAGGACGAGGAGAAGCAGGAGGAGGAGGACGAGGAGGAGGGGGGGAGGAGCGAGGAGGAAGAGAGGGAGAGATGGAGGAGGGGGAGGATCGGCAAACACTCAAAGGAGAGAAAAAGGCAGGGGTTCTGTAGTCAGCCACAACCCCCAGGGAAGGCCCCTCGGAGGGGACCCTGCTGCACCACGAAGCGGCTTTGAGAAGCCGCCCCGTGGGCCCGCGACAGGGGGCCTCGCCTGGGAATCGGGCTGCCACGTCCCTCGTGGCCAAAGTCGCCTGGAGCCGAAATCTCTCATCTCCTCCTCGCTCACGCCGGAAGCTCTGCAGGCAGCCCGCGAGGGCAAAGGGCGGCCACCGAACCAGGGGGCTCCCTGGGCTGCGGCCCTGTGGGGCAGGCCGACCGGCCCGCCGGGGGCACCTTGGCACAACCCCCCTCCCCCCTCTCCTCCTCCTCCTCCTCCTCCTCCTCTCCTCCTCCTCCCCTCCTCCTCCGTCTCCTCCTCCTCCTCCTCCTCCTCCTCCTCCTCCTCCTCCTCCTCCTCCTCCTCCTCCTCCTCCTCCCCCTCCCCCCCCTCCGACGGCGACGCGGCAGGCGCAGCGCCACGGACCTACCTCGAACGGACGGTCGGGGTGCTTCGAAGCTGCAAGAAGCCGCCCTGCTCCTGCTCTGTTTCCGCGCCCAGATGGGCCGCTTGCGACCCCACGCGCGCAGCCGTCAGACCACAAGCGCCCGGGGCCACGGTGCAGTATTCGGCCGGACCTGAGGAACGATCAATGAGGAACGAGGCCCCTTTTCTTCCAAGTAAGTCTACGAAGTCCGAAGGAACGCCAGGGGGGCTCGCCGCCGAAAAATTAGCGGAACGCATGCAAACCAGAGGAACGACCGAGCCCCTTTTGAAAAGTAAGAGTTCCTTGTTCAAGCCGGATCCTGTAGCCTACCCGCCGCACTAGGGAACACAAAAGGAGGAGGCAGGGCGGCCCCTCCTGCAAAACAGGACCCCCCAGCGGGAGAGGGCCCCCCGCCACCAAGGGACCCCTGGCGGCATCCCCGAGAGGCCAGCAACGTCTGGGCAGAGGCCTCCTGGAGGTGGGCTGGCCTCGGGGCTCTCCTGGGGCGCCTCGCGGGGGGGCGGGCTCCGCAGCAGCAGCAGCCCGCTCGTGCAGAGCCTCGTCCCTTTTGGCCTCGTCCATGGCCGCCCCGAAACCCCACCCTCCATAGAAGTTCGAAAAAGCCCCTGACCTCAGATTGGGCGCCCGAATTATCCGGGGTAACTCGGGTCCGGGGTGATTCGGGCTTGGATTCCCGAAAAAACAACCCGGGATAGCCCTGACCCGAGATACCTCTGATGATTTGGGGCTCTGGACACCCGAATCATCCGGGGTAAGCCGGGTCCGGGGTAAGTCGGGTTCGGAATCCCGAAAAACGAACCCGAGTTAGCCCTGACCCGAGCTACCCCTGATGATTCGGGGCTCTGATCAGACATTGTCGAAGCGGTCCTCTTCAGAAAAGAAGACCTCCGCCCCGGCCACGCGATTCAGCGCCGGACGGGCAGCGAGCAGCGTGCCCCTGGCCGGCAAAATGTCGGCCCCACCGTGCCGACGGAGCGCCGCCCCATTTCTTGGCGCGACGGTCCGCTTCATGGTTGCCTTGCCTGCCAGACTCTGAGATGCGCCGTTCACGGGCGTCCACCTGCGCCGAGCGGAGCCCGAGAGGTCGCCGCCCGAAGAAGCGTGCGCCACAAGCATGCGCGAACATTGGCCGATCTGACCGAATGCCTTCGATCCCCGCAGCACTGCTGCGTCCCGCGACAATCTGCGTCAAGCGTGAAGCTGCCCCCAATGAACCTGGAGGCAACGAGCACAGAGCGCAGTCTTCGCCATCCCTGGCAACCCGATCTGGTCATGTCGTGGCAGGCACGGAATCGAACCATTCAGCAGCCTTGTGCCTGCGCCGAACCCCAACTGCAAGTCCCCGCCCTGCCACTCGAAACGACGGAACAAAAACCGTCGACTCCCGAACCGACGCAAAATCCGTGGCCGTCTTGGAGCATGAGGGAGGCTGCCCCCCTGGATCCTGAGCTCAAAGGACGGGCCCCGGGGATTTCGGGCCGGAAGTCGGCGCGGGCCGGGGATGATGCCACAGGAAAGGCGAACATGCAGCTCTGTCGGGCGTCTGCCTGCACGCTGAACCAGGGACTTCCTATCATCCGTCAGGTTGCCCTCCAAGCTTCTCGCGATGGGCCTTCGAAGTGCCCATTGAAGAGGGCGCCTCTGTCCCCGCAAAGCAAGCGCTCTGCTGAGAACTGTGGGTCATGCTGGCTAAGCCTGTATTGGCACCAGTGGGGGCCCATGACAAGCCCTCTATGGGTCCTTTGCTCCCCAGCTCTCCAGGCCCTTTCCAGAGCCCGCCAAGGTCTCATCCTCACTTTCTGGGCAACTCTGCTACGCAGCAGCTGAATGGGGCGTCAAAACATGCCCCCTCTCTAAGCACTGCCTTGTCTTATCCTTGCCAAGCCGGTAGCATCAGCTAAGAGTCTGGCCGCGAACTTGGTTCTGCGGGCAAAAAAAACGGTGCCCAGAGCGGGGTGGTACTAGCTCGGGGAGGTGGGGGAGCGGCCAGCCCTCCGAGCTGGTGGTGATGGTTCTTTCGGATCTGGTGAATTTACTCGGACCTTACAGGTTCCGCCCAGCGCCTACCAGTGTCTATCAGTGTGCCTATGAGCGCCTATTACTGCCTGCCGGCGCCTGTTGACTCCTACTTGCGCCTATCAGCGTATGTTTCTGACCACCAATGAGCAACAGCACGCGGCAAGCACCGGTCAAAACAACGACTCACCTGACAGGACGCTCGCGCACAACACACCTAACATACCCTGGGCAAACCACACAAAACACGGTAGCGCTGCTACCGCAGCGGTGGCGACGACTGCCCCACAGGCGGGAAAACGAGGGAAGGGTAGAAGCATGGGCCCCTTGTCCTTGAGCAGGGACCGACCGTCCCGGCATTCCCATAGGCCTACCACGACATGTTCCCAGAACCAAAAGATGTTCTCATAACACAAACAACGTTCTCAGAACACGAGCCCGATGTTCGGCTAGGCGTAAGAGTGACCCTGGGTAAGAGTGTCCTTTGGTGCGCAGCTTTTGGGGGCGCGAGGGAGCCGAAACCCAAGGGCACGGGCCGCTTAAATCGCATCGCGCTCGGCGATCAGAGGGGAGCCTGATGAGCCCGTACCAAAGGTCACTCCGGCGAAACGTCACTCTTACGTGTAGTCGAGATGTGGTAACCTGAGGCAGTCCCGGGCAGAACTGTTCCAAGAACATCTCGCGCAGACCACAAGAGGTTCTCAGAGCCTTCCTCGGAGGGCCCATCGGCGAGGCAGGTCGCGTCGCCACTGCCTGCTTCCCCCCCCCCGAAGCCCCGCCTGGGAGGCCCAGGACGTGGCTGGCCCCCCCCCGCTGGGCAGAGGCGACGGGGTCTCCCCCCCGCGGGCCCGCCCCCCTTCGGGAGCGGCCAAGAGGGGGGTGTCCAAGAGGGGGGGGGGGGAAATCATGACCGGCGGCATGTGCGCGGTCCAGCGGGGGGGCCAGGGACGTAATGAAATAAGAAGAGGCGCCATGAAATCTGGGGAAATATCATGGCCCCCGCCATGATCTCCATCCCCCCCCAAGTCGACTCACCCCCCCCTTTTCCGCCCCCGCCCCCCTGCGCCCCCCGAGGGCCGTCCTGGCTCCCGGGCAGGCCCATCTGCCCGTGGCCCAGCGCGAAGCACCTGCGGCGCCCGGGGCCGGCGTCTGCGGGCCGGGGGGGGGGCAGGCAGGCAGGCAGGGGCGCGTCGTCTTGCTCGGCGCTTCGGCAGGGAGCGACAAGGGCGTGCGGGAGGGAGGGGGGGGTCTGGCTCCGGACCTCTGCTTCTTAGTGCGACGGTATGCAGCAGTGCGTCCTATGGGGGAGGGGCTCCACCTGCTCGAAACAGGCGCCAAGAGCAGCCAGGATCTGCTCCATGGAGATGGGGACGGAGGCGGGGGGGGGGGCGAGGGCCCGCGCCGATCGGCAAAATAAGACATACAAAACAAGCACCAAGACCTGGGCAGCGGTCCTCCGCTGTCTGGCTCACCCCTGCTGGTTGAGAATTCTAGGCTTAAGTCGGGCGTGTCCCCCCGCAGGGGGATTTTCGACGAAAAAAATTGAAAATACTTAAACGTGGTAAGACAAAAATACTATTGTTTTACTATTGTTTTACTATTTTTGAATATTCTCCCTGTAAAGGGACAGGCCCGACTGAATTTTAGTCACGACAATACTTGCTGGTGTGGTCAGTGCGCCACTCGGGCAAGCCTGCGGGATCTCAGAGCCCGTCCTGAACCTTCAAAGCCCGCGTCGGCACGAAGGCACGCCACACTTCATCCAGCTCGCACAGAGCTGAGGCTTGGAGCACTCGGGCCCAACCTTACATTGGGGCCGACGGGTGCGGGGGGAGGCCCCCGGGGGGAGGAGGAGGACGAGAAGGACTAGTGCAAACCCGAGACCCAGCGGCGATGTTGGAAGAAGCCCTTCCTCCAAACTGCCCTCTCAAGAGGCCCCGTAGAAGTGTTCATTTCGATGGAGGGAACCACCTCGTCGGGAGACATCCGTTCAAAGACCCTGAAGCATGCAAAAACACCATCCTCGAGACTTCAAAGCCACGAATCATCCTGACGGTTCCGTCTTGACGGTCCTGAATCCTGCAAGAACAACTTCTTGGGACGTCAACACCACGAATCAACGAAACTGGTGCGCCCTCAAAACCCTGAGGCCTTCCGAAACAACATTTCTGGTCCGTGGGCTATCGGAATCCGTGAAACTCTTGCACGTGTTTGCACATAATGTGCGCGGCTGTTAGGCGAGAACCACGTTGAGAGGAACCGTCCCAAACCCGTGACGCACTTGCAAGACATTGCAAAGAATGTGCGCACCGCAACGGCGAGAACAACATGTTGAACATGACCCGCCCTCAATCCGCACACCTCGTGCAAATGTTAAAGCGGATGTGCGCGGCGCCATGGCGAGAACCGCATCTTGAAAACGCACGCCCCCCATACGTGAAACTCATGCTTTTGTTTAATCTACATGTTTTACTTATCAAAGTGTTCAAAGAATGCGAGCGGCGCTAAGGTGGGAACTACACTATGAATACAACCCGTCCTCCAATGAGGTTCCGATAATGCTTCAAGTCGGCGCCCAGGCATCCCAACACAGCTCTGGCATATCCCATTCTTCTACAGAAAGTCGGCGGCAGAGGGTGGACCCTCTGCGGCTAGGGGAGCAGTAACAGCAACAACACGGTGAGGAGGGAGAGGAGGACGAGGGCAATGAGGAGGGAGACAAGAAGAAGACTGACAGGGGAAGAAACAAACTGCATACCCGTCGGTCGGAAGAAGTGGGTGGAAACACGGAGTAAGACGTTGAGCGTATCTTGGACTTCCACCCGCCCCCTGAAGAGGAAGGAAGAGGGGAAACCACTCGATCATTGAAGTACGAAGGCGCCCGAAGCAGATTGGGATCTGGGAATCCAGACGTGCCGGCTCTCAGCGACCGACGCGAAACATTGACTGTTGGAGGCCCGCGCGGGTTCCGTGGATCTGCGCTGAGCCCTCCTTCCTGTCTCGCTGGGCGCGCTGGCGGGCTCCGGCGCAGATCCAAAAAATCCGACCGGACCTCCGAAACTCTCTGTGTATGCCGTTTGTCCTCCTCCGAGCGTCGACGTCGTCGTCGTCGTCGACGTCAAAGTAAGGAGGACGTCGACGTCACCGTCGTCGACGACCAGAGCAGCGCGCGCGCACGGCTGTCGTGGAGAATCCACAAGGTAGGAGAGCAGAGGGTCGGGAGAATCAACTCACGTGGCTGGTTTTCCTGGCGCCTCCTGGCGCCGGGAGGCATTCGTGTTCGGCAAAACGTGCCGACCGGGGTCAATCCAGACCCGGGTCAGTCAGGCCTTGGAGGATCTCTCCAAGATGCTGCAGCGTCCTGCAGGATCCTGCACCCAAACCCGGGTCAGTGCAGCCCTGGCCTTGCAGGATGCTGCAAGACCCGGCGCTCTGACTGACCCCCGTTGGCGTAGACCCCCGTCTCTTGAGCCCCGAGGCCATGTATCGAGGAATGGGCCTGGGCCCGGCGGCGGGGCGGCAACCAGCTGCATGCCGCAGATTCCGCACCCCCCCCCCCTTTCCCTACAGTGGAGGCCAGTCCACAAGAAACCTTCCACAAGAGCCCCAACCCTGAGACCGCAGGACGTCCATCGAACCTTGGTGTGGAATCGTCGCGCCTCCCATGGCAAAACCATCGAGCGCCCAGAAACCCAGGGCACCTTGAATAGGGAGCCCACAAAGGACGTACGAGCCCAGCTATGTACATGAACACGGCCCCTCGATCCGCGAGACTGGCCGCGTGAAACGAACATTTGCGCAATGCGTACTCTCAAAACCAGCGTAGATTCATGTACGTCTACGTCCTTTTTTCGCTCCTGATTGAAGGCGAGCAGGGTCTTCCTTGGCATGGGCCTCCACTGTCTACTGCCCTTTCCTGCGGCCCGAGCCTGGCAGCGACTCGCCCACCAGGTGCGGCGCCGCCGCCCGCGCCACGGCCAGGGAGGCCTCCGCCGCGGCCGTGCCCCCGCCGGCGTTCAGCGCCGGCCGTCGCCGCCGCGGTCGTCGGAAGTATCGCCGCCGCCGCCGTCGCTCGTCGTGCGTCGTCGTGCGTCGTCGTGCGTCATCGTCGCCGTCGTCGTCGTCGCTCGTCATCGCTCGTCGTCGTCGTCGTCGTCGTCGTCGTCGCTCGTGGCCGCTGCCGCCGTCGCTCGTCGTGCGTCGTCGTCGTCGCCGTCGTCGTCGTCGCTCGTCGTCGCTCGTCGTGCGTCGTCGTCGTCGCTCGTCGTCGCCGCCGCCACCCTCGCTCGTCGTGCGTCGTCGGTGTGCGTCGTCGTCGCTCGTCGTCGTCGCTCGTCGTCGTCGCTCGTCGTGCGTCGCTCGTCGTGCGTCGTCGTCGTCGTCGTCGTCAGTCACCCGAGGCTCATGGACAGGATCAGTCAGCATCGAACCAGGAAGTCGGACCGAATCGGAACGTTTATCGGTTCGGGACGCAGAGGCACGGAATCCAGGTCGAATCGGATCGGCTGCGCCAGGATGCATAACAACAGGAGCGCCAAACTTCGCGCTCCGCGCCGCGCGAGGCGCGACTATTCTTGCGCTCCTGCGCCCCCCCCCCGGGGGAGAAGATGAAGGTGAGGATAGGGAGCCCTCCAAAAAAGCACGCTCCTGGCTATGTGCATGAACACGGCCCCTCGACCCGCGAGACCGGCCACGCGATACCAACACTCGCGCAATGCGTACTCTCGAAACCAGCGTGGATTCATGTACGTGTTCGGAAACCGATTTCTGACCACACCCACTTCCCGAGGTGCCTTGCGAAAAGCGGTTTCCAGAAGTGGAGGTGGGCAGTTTCCCCGCCCCAGCGGAAGGAAAAACTACCCACTTCCACCCCCGAGGGCCTATCATAGAATCGAGGATCCAGAGGTGGATGTGGTCAGAAATCGGTCTTCGACGTGTGCGTCCTTCTTTCGCTCCAGAGGAGGCGTCGGAGCCGAGCTGCGGAGCGCGAGTGACCTCGCGCTCCCGAGGGCGCCCCGGGCAGCAGCGCCGTGCACACAGCGGGCCGCGAGGGATCGCCAGAGCATCGGGATGGGATCGGACCAGGCCGGCCGAGACCGATACAGTCGGGGCCTTGACCTAAGGAACCCTAAATAAGAAAGGAGGCCCCTATTTTCCATAAGTTAACCTTCGATTTCCCATCGAAAGCGTAAGGGAAATCAAAGGCTAGCTGCGAAACACTTAAGGAACGCGGAGCCCCTCCCCAACGAACAGGGTTCCTTCTTCAGGGCCCCGACTGTACAGGCGGACCTGGGCAAGAAGCACATCCTTCAAGAGGATGAGACCCTCCGCCGGCCAAGGCAAACAGAGCATCCAAGGGCACCCTCCCCAGAATGCAGCAGCACAGCCAACAAACAAAAAGAACACCAGGGCACTCTCCCCCCGAGCTGACCTCGACCTTCTACCTCGGTCCGGCTGCATCGAATCGGATCGATCAGGTAGAAACTGACCATGATGGATCGCAACTCGATGTGCGTTTGGGCGCTTCTCGGGGGGGGGTGGGGCCTGCTGGGAGGGGGGGGGGGAGGCTTCTCGTCACCGCGGCTGGCTTTCCCCTACGGTGCAAACTCAAGGGGTCCATGAACACAAGTAAATGGATAGAAATCTCAGGATCTCCGGTATGTTCCAAATCTTCTGAATTGTCGTCTTTCCCCCACCTTCCACAATGTTCTAACATGTTCCTGGGAACCGACGATCATTTGCGACTGTGTGTTTCTCCTCTCCTGACAAAACGCACCCTAGGAGAGATCAACGGTCCGACTGGGGGCTCGTCGTCATGATTGTCGCCCGCGCCTCGTCGTCCTCGTCCACTTCCACTTTTTCCTACTCGTCCCCCTCCTCCTGGTCCTCCTCCTCCTCCTCGTCTGACTTCTCCTTCTCCTCCTCCTTCTCCTCCTTCTCGTCCTCCCCCTTCTGTCACCCCCCTCCTCCTCCTCCTCCTCCTCCTCCTTCTCCTCCTCCTCCTCCTCGTCATCATCTGCGACCGTCTTCGTGAGAGAAGGCTCGTTTCCACAAAATGTGCCGCTCAGACGCAGAGGACGCGCTGCTCTGATGCGCCTGTTGTGGCGAGCGAGGCCTGACATCAAGTTAGCCCTATCGTCTCATAGCATCGTCTGCGTGCCCTTTCTCCTTGTCCTCCTAGCCTCGGCTGCGAGCCCAAAAGGCAATGCAGAGGGGGCTGGCCTTCTCAGAAGGTTCGGGGGGCCTCCAGTCTTCCGAGAGACAGCCTTGACCTTCTCTGACGACATGGACGGCCTCTCAGAAGGCCGGAGGGCTTCTGAGAGACCCCGCCGCCATCTGAGAAAGCCTGCCGCCTATCACTTCCCCCCTGGGCGCCGAGCCGATCTCGAGGCGGCCGTGGGGTCCTGACCGGTTGGGGCCCAGGATAGTCGGTCAGGAGAGGGCAGGGTGACGCCAAATCCGCTCAAAATCTGTCCAACCCCTCGCGGGCTCCATCTGGTGCAATGTTTCATCACGGATCCGCTTCTGACGGTCCCAGGGTCCGAAAACGGCCCCCAGAGGCCGGAAATGGCAAACAACGGGACCGAACACAGCACCTCTAACCTGCCTCCCCCCGTTCCTGCTCGCCGGAACCACAGCTGGGCCACCTTCAACCCCAACCCAGCTCTACTCGCCGATCGTCCTCCTTCTCCTCCTGCTTCTCCTCCTCCTTCTCCTGCCTCTGCCTCCTCCTCCTCCTCCTCCTCCTCCTCTTCCTGCCTCCTCCTCCTCCTCCTCCTCCTCCTCCTCTGCCCTCCGCCTTCCTCCTCCTCCTCCTCCTCCCACCCCTCCTCCTCTCCTCCCCATCTCCTCCTGCCCTCCTCCACCATCCTCCTCCCCCCATTCCATCCCCATCCTCCCTCCTTCCTCCTCCCTCCTCCTCTCCTCCTCCTCCTCCTCCTACTCTCCTCCTCCACCCCTTCGTCCTCCGTCCTCCTCCGCAGCCGCCGGCTTCGGCTCCGTCCTCCTCCTCTCCCCTCCTCCTCCTCCTCGAACTCGTCCAACTCCTCCAACTCCTGCCTCTCCTCCGACTCCTCCAACTCCTCCTCCCTCCTCCTCTCCTCCTCCTCCTCGTGCTACTCCTGCTCCTGCTCCTGCTCCTGCTGCGCCTGCTGCTCCCGCTGCTCCTCCTCCTCCTCCTCCTCCTCCTCCTCTTCCTCCTCCTCCTTCTCCTCCCACCTCCTCCTCTTCCTCATCATCCTCCTCCTCCTTCTCCTTCTTCTCTTCCTGCTCTTCCTGCCCAGCCTGCCCCGCACCCGTAATTACGGTTCCTCCCTCCCCCCCCTCGCCCTCTCGCCCACCGTCGCCCGCCCACGTCGACCTCGTCGCCCCCGAGCGACGGGGGGGGGGGCGGGCGGACGCCGACGGCCCGCGCGAGCGGCGAGGGGCGCCCGAGGGGGGCGAGGAAGGCGCGGCTGCGGCAGCGGCGGCGGCGGCCCGAGGGGGGGCCTCGCGCACCTCTTCGGGCGGGCCGGCGCCGACCTCGGGCGGGGCGTCGCTCGCCGAGGGGAGGGCGGGGACTGGCGGGGGCCGCAGGGGGGGGGCGGGAGCCCAGCTGCGCCGGCGGCGGCGCCCTCGGGCTCGGCGTCGCTCCACGGGAGGGGCCATGAGCGTTGGAGGCCGAAGGGGGGGGCGAGGGGCGCAGACGTGGCGGCGGCGGCCAGAGGAGGGCGCCGCGCACCTCCTCGGGCGGGCCGGCGCCGAGCTCGGGCAGGGGCGTCGCGCGGCTGCGGGAGGCGATGCGGACCCGGGCCAGAAAAACGTTTGGCGAGAACATGAGACCCTCCGCCGGCCAAGGCAAACAGGACTAACCGACAAGACAACATGAGCGCGGACGTCTGCGAGCCCACTCTCGCTGTCATTACTTTGTGAAGCCATCTATACCTCGAAGCCGTTCCGCAGCACTAATCTGCTGCGCAGCCGTTCCACAGCACAGGCACGGTGACGGGATGGGCCGAAGGCCATTAGATATGGTAGGCCATCAGGTATGATTTCATATGGTACTATACTCATCCAGCAACCCTTCGGGTGATAAAGAAAGGGGGTGGGTGGATGAAGCAACTGCTGGCAAATGCGGTGGGTGTGATGATGATGATGATGATGATGATGATGATGATGATGATGATGATGATGCTGGTGACGCGCCCTGGAGTCAGCGACGACGCGTGATGACAATGGTGCGCTGCGATGTAATGCCAATGTTTTGCTCACTATCAATCTCGCTTGCGATCTCACTGTCGATCTCACTATCGATTCCTCGATCGGTCTCACTATCGATCCCACTGTCGACCTCTTGAACTGATGATCCATCACATTCTCGCGATCCCATTATCGATCTCACGATCGGCTTCACTATCGATACCAAGACGGGACAAACCCGGCCACCGCCCGCATAGCGCCGACGGAACACCGACGGGACACCAACGGGACACCACAGGACACCACGGCAGGACACCCCGGGCCACCGCGCGCCCACCTGGGGCGGAGGGGCGGCCCGCTGCATCCGAATTGCCATAGCGTCGGCGGGGTCATTCCTCTCGCGTGCCTGCGCAGCTTCGCCTTGCCCGCACGCACGACACAAACACGAAACCGAAGCCGATGTCCCAATGGGGGGCCCTCTGTCCCACTGCGATCTCACCCCCCAACCTCCGATATACACGGCGCTGGGGCCGCAATTTGCCACTAGAAAAAGACAAACATACGGCAGATTCATGCCGTGTCGACTTCGGATTCTGACGCCTCGGGGATCGTTCAACGTTGAACAATCGACCGCTTCCGAAACGTCAGATCGTTCAACATCGACCGATTCTGTGTCGCCGGCGACGTCCAAAGTTGAACGCCTGCAAAGGGGTCGCCGCTGGTCTTGGCATCGCCGCCGACGATCACGACTACGACGACAAAGACGACAACGACGACAACGAAGACAACGACGACCACGACGACGACGACGACGCGACGCGAAGCTAACGTGACATTATCTGGTGGACTCGTGCCTGGCCCCGAACAAACGCCTGGCGCAGTGGTCGTCGACAGCGACGACGAACCCTCTCCGAGCGGCATCAGGTGCTCCGGCGGCGCGCACAGGGGGGTAGGGGGAGGGGGGAAGGCTTCTTAAGAAGGAGGCTGCTTCTTAGAAGGCGCTGCCCTTACATCTATAGAGAAGGACCGCGCCTTCTCAGAAGCAGGTGTGCTTCTAAGAAGCCTTCCCCCTTCCCCCCCCTGCTTGCGGCCGAGTGCTGCCCGCGCGGCCTCGTCCACGCGCACCAGGCCGGGGCTGAACCACAAGTTCAGCGCCCCGAAGAGCCGCCGGTCGAGGCGCGCGAGTGCGAATCCTCGGCGGGAAGACGCGCTGTCGCCGTCGCCGTCGCCGTCGCCGTGGCCAACGCCGCCACCGACGGTGTCGACGTCATCGATGTCTTCCTCGTCATTGCCACTGCAGACTATTCCATAGACGTTGTCCTCGTCGTCAGCGTCGTCGTCGTGCACCTCCTCCTGCCCTGAGCCTCCCTCTCCTCTCCCTCGAGGGAGAGAAAAGGGAGGACGACAGGTGGTGAAGCAAGGGGGCACAGGTGAGCGGAAGGGCAAATAGAAAATGACAATGGAAAACGAAGGAAGAGGCAGGGAGGCGAGAGTGGGAAGGACGAGGCTGCAAAAAGGGAGGTACAGGGAGGAGAGAGATCAGGGGGAGGAATGATATTTGATTAGGCCTTGACCTTCTTCAAACAATGGCCTCGGGCAACATGCGCGTTTGTGTTCTAGCCCTTAAACAAATAGACAGGATAGGAAGGCGCAGCCGCTGCCGAAACGGATGGGCCTGCAGGGCGTCTTATCTCAACCACATGAAAAAGGAGACATAAGGATAGGAGGCAAGAGGCGGAGGAAGAGGGGAAAAGGACGAGTGGGAGGCGAGGGCGAAAAGGAAAGGGTGATGAAGGAGGAGGAGGAGGAGGAGGAGGAGGAGGAGGAGGAGGAGGAGGAGGGGGGAGCGGAGAAGGGGGGAGGAGGGGACAAGGACAAGGTGGAGGAGCGGGCGGGAGGCAGCGGCAGAAATGGGAGAGGCAAAAGGAGGAGAAAGAAGAAGAGCAGGACGAGGCGGACAGGGAAGAAGCGGATCGGGCTGCAACGGCACGGAGTCGAGATCGAAGCGGATCTGCTGCGTCAGGATGCACGACAAGGCCACGCAAGCATCGGGCGCCCTCGCATCGTGGGACTAACGGAATCAAATCCGCCGAACCTCCTCTCCCCCTCCCCAGGGTCCAAAATCCGATCAGAGGACGGGGGGGGGGGCGAGCTCGCCAACCATCCAGGGGGGCTCTCCAGAACCCCCCCGACAGCCCCAAGGCGGCCCATCCGGGCCCAGACCGAGCGCCAAGACAGTCGAAGAGAGCGTCACGACGGCCCAGTGTAACCCCACGATGATCCAATATGGCTTCAAGATGGCCCACGAGGCCCCCAAGACAGCCCAGAAGCGCCTCAAGAGGATCGCTGAGAGGGCCCCAAGGGTCAAATTGTGCATGTTCAGCACATGCACATTTTACGTCTTGACAGAGAACACGACTGCCCCAGTGGCCCCCAAGATCGACACAAGACGGCCCATGAGGCCTCCAGGAAGCCCCAAGACGGCCCATGCATGGCCCAAAGACAGCCCCAGGAACCCCCGAAGACGGCCCAAGACAGCCCCTGGAGGTCCCCAAGAGGGCTCAAAGGAAGCCCAAGAGGGGGAATACAAAGTGACATTTCTACCGAGATGACCCCTCGGGCCCACCAGAAGCCCCCGAGGGCCCTCCAAGAGGCTCCCAAAGGCCTCCAAGCCGCCCCAAAGAAGCTCCCGAGAGACACCCACGAGGCCCCGAAAACCCGCCCACATGCCCCCAAAATAATCGAAGAGGCCCTAAACAGGCCCTGATGAGGCCCCCAAGAGGCCCCTAAGCGGCCCCAGGAGGCCCCCCCAAAGCCCCCCCGAGCTCGCAGGCAAGTGCAAACGACCCGACGCGTTTAAGAGTCCCCAAGAGGCCACCAAGAGGCCTCCCGAAAGAGTCCCTCCTCATAGGCAAAACACTTCCAGACGGCCCGCGACGCGTTCAAGACTCCCCCAGCGGCCACCAAGAAGTCTCACATGCCGAACGCAAAACCTGATAAAAAAAGCAGCCGCCCCTGCAGCTCCGCACCGCGAAAGACCACTCGGTCAGTCGACAAGTGCACGCAATACGGGCCGGCGGAATGAGCGAAGCGATTCAATAATCCAAGAGGCCCTAGAGAGGCAACCCACAAGCCCCTCAGATTCATCCAGGAGGCTCCTGACCCAAGGTAGAACTTCCGCGGTCGTCTCAAACACTCACTCTCTGCGGGTGTCGGCGGCGAAAGGCGTACGGCGCAAGCCCATTGCAGGGGATCGTCCCAGCCTCAACCGATCGGATCGAACTGGGCCGTGGGGGGGGGGGCGTCTGTCTCCAGATCTGTAGTCCATATTGATTCAGGGGTCCCAAAAGTGGCCGCTGGCATTCCCCAGGACGCGCTCAAGTAGCACAGCGGGCGTCACCGCTGAAAAATCATAGCATCGCGCGCTGAGAGCTTGTTTGCCTGTCTGCAAGATTGGTCAATCTGTTTCTTGGCATATTCACTTCACGAGGGGGGGAGGGCGGATCAGACTCCCGCGTGTCGCGAGAAAGCTCGGAGCCTGCCAAGGGCTTCCAAAGTTCGGGTGTTGCTGGGCTCGCACCTGGCCCCAAAAGGTGCACCCAGGATTTCCGAGGAGGCCCCGACGGCCTCCAGAGCAATCCTCAGGAGGCCTAGGTCGGGCATGTCCCCCTACATGCGGATTTTGGACGAAACGTAAACATGGTAAAATACAGATTCCCAAATAGCCAAGACAGCCTCAGACGAATCGTCCCCCTACTATGTTTGAGCTAATCATGAAACTATCTGCCCGACTTCAGCCCAGAGGGTCGCAGGGGGCTGGACACGGTGGGCGAAGAGCCGAGGGCACCGTGGGCCATGGGGGCACCTGCCGCAACTCCGGCGGTGGACAGACCTCCCTTCAGCAAACCACCATCTAGAGAAAACGGCCCAGGATTAGGTCGGGCGTGCCCCCCTACAGGCGAATTATTGAACGAACAATTGAAATATTCCAAACATGGCCAGAAACAAAAAAAAATGCTCAAGCAATCGTCCCCTGACTATCTTATACTTATTTTTGCATGTTCCCCCTGTAGAGGAGCAGTCCCGACTTCGCCTAGGACCGAAAAAAACGGACCCCGACCCGCAAAAATGACGGCCGCGACGCCCTCTCGCGAACCGAAAACGGCGGATTCGCTAATCGACGTGTCGGGGTAGGACGTCAATCAACCTCCGACCCGACCATGGGGGGGGGGGGGGACCAGAAGACCTCCTCGTTGCGAGAGCTCGGGCCCCGTCAGGGGCTTTCGGAGGCGCGCAGAGGGGGGTAGGGGGAGAGGAGAAGGCTTCTTAGAGCGAAGCTGCTCCTTCGAGGCGCCAGCCTCAAATGTACAGACACGGCCCGCTCGCTCTAAGAATCAGGGGTGCTTCTGAGAAGCCTCCCCCCCCCCCCCCTACCCCTCTTTGCGCGTGGCTGAGGCTTCCCAATGGGGGGAAACCCGGACCTTAGTGGGCCCTGGAAACGACAGGGTCGTTTTTGTAACCGGTTCCGTTTGCCGTTTTTGTTGCTAAGTCCGACGCCGTTTTTTACCGGTTTCGTCACCATTCTTTCACGGGTTCCCGCTCCGGTTCCAATCCTGGAGCCGTTCTTGTTGCCGCCTCCGGTCGCCGTTTTTCTGCCGCTTCCATTTTCAAGGGGCACCTTTTCGGACACGGTGAAAAAACGGCCCTGCCTTTTCGGGGGCCCACAAAGGGGAGACCCGGACCAGATCCGCTCGTGCAGCGAAGCTCGGGGTCCACCTGGGGCTTCCCGGCAGGGAGCCGGCAGGCTCCCTGCCGCAGTGAGGTGCGCCCTGGGACCACCCGCGGTGCGGACGCGGCCGCAACCTCCTCCTCCTCCCCCTCCTCCTCCTCCTCCTCCTCCTCCTCCTCCTCCTCCTCCTCCACTCCTCCTCCTCCTCCTCCTCCTCCACTTCCTCCTCCTCCTCCTCCTCCTCCTCCTCCCCCTCCTCCCTGGAAAGAAGCCCAACTCTGAAAACCTCGGGCGAGGTGCACCTGAGGGGAAACCCGGATCACCCTGAACGCAACAGCTTCCGTGACGGCCGCGGGAAGTCACAGCGTAGCGCGCGGCCGTGACAAAAATCAACGACCCAGGCACCCTACCCAATCCCCAACGGCCCAGGGCACCCTGACAAAAATCACATGGTCCCCTGATGTCCCCACTGATATGGTCGACATTTGATGAGTCCCCTCGCTGAGAACAAGAACCACGGCTGACGAATCCTTGCAAATCAGGCCTCCAAAGGCCATCGCCGGGCCCCCAGGACCGTCAAATCATGAAGACGCATGGACAGACCGGGCACCAGGGAAGGGGTCGAGACATCCCGGGGCGCGCGCTGCGAAGAGAAGATCGCAGTGCCGGACGACCTGTTGTGGCGCGATGGGATGTGTGAGCGATTCCCCGCATCGGCATTCGACCAACAACAGAGCTGCCTCTATCGGCCCCGTGGTGGACGGGCGGGAGGAGCGGGGCGACGCTTGAGACAAGGGGCCAGAGCGGGATCCTCCTGGCCAGAAGGCCTGATGAGGGAGGAGGAAATAGAGGCCTCCTAGGTGGTGTCGAAATGTGTTTTTGTTATCTATCTATCTATCTATATATATATATATATATATATATATATATAATGCAGGGTCGAGGGATCGCACCGCGAGTGTAGGGTGTGTAGGGTCGAAGGATCGAACCGCATCGCCAATGTATCGCCGATGCACCGGCGACGTCGGCGATGACATCGGCGGCATTGGCGTGGAGAAATCGGGCTACACATCGAGCCGTATCAGCGATGCATCGGTGATGCGGCGTGGTCCTCGGACCCCATCTGCTCGGATCAGATCTGGGAGGAACGGCTGCAGGATGTTCCCCGAATGTGCGGATCTCCCTGAGGGGCCCTTCACTGCCGCGGCTGGATCCACCCCGGAATCTGGAACCCTGGCCAGCACGCGGTCCTAAACTGAACATCGCTTAACCGATCCCTATTCCCACTGGCGTGGCTTTGATACAAACGGTCAAGTTGTTCTCATCGTACTTACGGGCCACGTCCCAAAAATAATTTCGAGCACCCAGGAAAGTGTCGAAGCAGTGTCGAACGAGTATCGCGTCCCAGGGCTCGACGTGTGAAAACCCTTCAGGTAGGGAATTTTCATGGTGCTCGACACTGCTTCTGGTGATCAAGGCTAAAGCAGGTTGGAACATTATTCGGGGATGGACAGGCCTCCCTTTAGTAAAACGTGGTTTAATGAAAACGACCTCGGGCCAAAAGCTGGCGGGCGTAAGCCTGGAAAATGACGGCCGCGGCGCCCTCTCGAGAACCGAAAACGGACCATTCACAAATCGACGTGTCAGGGTGGGAGGTCTGTCCACCCACGAATTATAACCCAACAGCCGATTTACCCCCGTGGAAGGAAACATGGGCCTGTTCGTTCGGGTTTCTCGAAGGCCTATCCCCACCTGGGCGGGTGGGCCGGTAGGGCCGAGATGCCCTGGCCCGGTGGGGATCGGGTTCGGTCAGACGATGCCGACACGCAGGCCCGGGGTCTAACCAGCCTCGAACGTATCCCTATCCCTAAGATGGGCGAGCAAAAAGCGATGACAATCTTAGGGATAAGCCCTCAGAAACTGAGGGAATCCTTAAGATCGGCATCGAGGTGAGGTGATGTCAAACATAGGGATAGGGATATGTTTCAAACTGGTTAGGGTCGCCTGTGAGGGTCCCTGAGCGCTGCTGGGCAGCCATCTGGCTCAATGGGGGAACCACAAGATACCGATACTGCTACTCCCCGGACCTCTCCCCGGGGTGCGTTCTGACCAGGATTTCAAGGCGAATCCAGCGGTGGCGACGAGGGCCTCCAAGGAGGCCCTCAAAGGGGAAAACGGGCGAGAGGGTAGAGGTATGGGTACCTTTTCCTCCTCCGACTCAAGGGGACACCGCGGCCACCAGTGGTCGCCCCGAATGCGGCGGGCAGAAGACAAGTCGTGGCGAAATTTGCTTGCGCTTTCGTCATCTGGGGTTAGGTTGGGCATGTCCCCCTACAGGCGGATTTTGGACGAAAAATGGAACAGATTCGAATAATCATCGAAAAGATTCAACATGATAGAGAAATCGTCCCCAGACTACTTTTGGACTGTTTTTGAAGACTCCCCCTGTACAGGGACAGGCCCGGCTTAAATCTGGGGGCCGCTTCCCAGCCCTGGGATCGCCAAAACACGCCTCGGGATGAAAGGCCGGCCCTGGGAAGACGAGCCAGATCCCGGGGGGCCCAAGTCTTTGGAGTCCCGAAACGGTGCGGTGACAGGCCGTGCGGTGACCTGGGAACCCCAAGAGACCTCACCGCACGGCCCCTGTCGCCCGAGACATCCTCGGAGAGGGACTCGAGTCCCAAAACCGCGCGGTGACCCGAATCCCCACCGACTCACCGCACGGTGTGGTCACCACACCGTTTGGGGGGCCCCCGAAATTCAAAAGATGGCCCACCAACCGGAAGAAGTCACGACGGCATGTGCTTCCTCGAACGCCCGCAGCGGAGCCGCTCTGTGGACTGCTCCTTTTGCTCCGCTCCGGCCCCTCCTCGGCGAGGCCGCGGCGCTCCTCGCAGATCCGGCCTCGCCACTGGCAGCAGGTCGAGCCTGCTCACCAACGGTGACGTTCGGCCGCCCGTCTTCTGCAGGCACGACGCGCCCGAGGCGCGTGTGGGCGCGTCGGAGCACGGCTGACAGGTCGCCTCAGAAACGCAGGTCGAGAGCACGAGCGCCTTCGCACAAGGTCCAGGTCCCCATGGCAACACCCGAACTCGAAAACCTGCCGAACGTGAAAAAGATGACTATCCAAAACGTGCCATCCATCGGTGTCCAGAACACGAAGATTACATCCTTCTAAGTGTCACCAACTTCTGGTGCCGATCACGATGTTGGCTGCCGCTCTCGGCGTCGTCCACTAGGGCGTTGGAACATGCTGCGGTTCTGCCAACTCCCGACGCAAGCCTGTACCGACCGCAGCCGCCCCCATTCGACCCCAGCGCTGCTGTGGAGGGTCCGCAGGGAAACCGTTCTTCTTTGAGTCCAGCCCTACTGCATGGGGTCTACGGCGAGCCCACCAACACAATCGACCCGACACATGCGAGGCACAGGCAAATGAAAACAACAATAATCATCTCGATAGATGTTGCAGATTCGCTGGCTGATCTTGACCGGCAGCATAGCCGTGCCAGGAGAGGGTCCGAGCGAATCGCGACGGTCACGCGCAGGCACTGGAGGCCACTCCGCGATGCCGAAACGCTGCTTCTGTAGCTCCCCTAGCTCGGCCCAGTCCGCGGTGAGGGTTGCAAGCGTGCCCACAAGATCGTAAGGATGCCCGGCTGGAAGCGGCACGCTCCTCTGCCCGTGATTGTGGCCGCCCTGCCGGTGCACGAGGTCGACGGTCACCTCGTCAAATGTCTGTAAGACCTGCTCTCGGGGTAACCGTGCCTCGCTGCCTTCCCTCGCCTCCAGGAGGGAGGACGCCATGCGCTCGAGCGGATCCCGGACCACGGTGAAGACCGTGTAGTTCCAGTTCGGCTCCCCAGCCTTGTTGGACCGCAGCGCGTCGCGAATGGCGGGCGAGTCCGACCTCGCCATGGGCACGTACGTGATCTTCAGCGCGTCGCTCACCACGTAGGCGGCCGTCTTCCTCGTTGGGCATGTTCTCCGCCGCCGCCACCATAACTGGGAGGAGGAGGAGGTCCTCCTCTTCTTCCTTCACCTCCTTCCCCCCTCCAATTTCTGGCGGTGGCGGTAGAAAACAGGCCCATCATTCCTGGGTGTCGTCGTGTAGGTCATGTTGCACGTCCGCCAGCTCCGGGCGCGCGCCCGACCGCTCCAGCCTTCCGCCTCGGGAGCCCCCCAAAGATGCAAGGGATCCCAACTTCGCGCTTCGCGCTGCGCGAAGCGCGAAGTGCGAATAACTTCGCGCTCTCGCGTCGCCTCCAAGGGGAGAAGAGGAGGATGAGGAGGAATCGCAGCCGAACCGCGAAGCGCGAAGCGCGAATAACTTCGCACCCCCGAGGGCGCCCTTGGTCCCGCCCTTTTCCCCAAATCGGATAAAGTGGGACTCGGGTTGGCCTGTCGGGGCCGTCAGGAACACTGCGAGACCCAGTCCGAACTCTGGCGCGACCCGCCGCTGCAGAAACACCCAGGGCCGTAGGTGGGGTGGTGTCGTTTGTTGTCTGGTCCACTGTTCCCCCCCCCTTGTCGGCACCCTTGAAAGCCTCGCTCTCCCGCCCAGCACAGTCCACCCGACAGGCGGGGGGCACGGGCAGCTGGAAGCAACAGTAATCGCAGAAGGAGAAAACACTGCATTACCCGCCGGTCGGAAGAAGTACGTGGAAACATGAAGTAAGAATGCGGATAGTGTAGATTGGGCTCGGGCCCGCCCAGAGAATACCAGCAACTACGAAAACACATCGGTTCTTGAAGTGGGAACGAGCTTGAAGTAGATTGGGATCTGGAGCCAAAAAAAAACATACTTTCTTCGACTAGCGTGTAACATAAACTTTGGAAGCTTCGCGCGGATTTCTTCTATCTGCGCTGAGACCCCCTGGCGACGCCTCCGGCGCCGCCCCGCGCGTCAAGGAAGGGGTCCAGACGGTCCAGCGCCGATCCGTGAAACCCACGTGAACCTCGGACCAATTGATGCTTATGCTGTTTTTCCCCTTCGGAATCACCACGGTAGATGTCGCAGATTCGCTGGCTGATCTCGACTGGCAGCATGGTCGCGTTCAGGACAGATCCGTACGATCTGCGGTGATCGCGAAGGTGAGGGACCATTGGAGGCCACTCCGTGATGCCGAAACGCTGCTTCTGCATCTCCCCTAGCTCGGCCCAGTCTGTGGTGAGGGTTGCAAGCGAGCCGACAAAATTCGCTGACACCATTTCGGCTTGTGGGCGTGTGATACAAGTCGCCCCTTCCACCAAGAACCCCCTACAACTGCGCCTTCGAATTCGGAGATGGGGCAGAAGAAAGGAGCATGCTGTGGATGGTGTCTGGTTGAGCTCGCGTATGTGATGTTTTCCTGCTCCAGCGCCTGTTTCCCTATCGAGCTTGTGCTAGAGAGTTCTGACTGTCTGCTGACGGCGACGGCCGCGCCAGCGGGTGAGGGGCACAGCCCTTGCAAATGGCCAGCCCCTCGTGCCGCCACAGCTTCACTCCCAGACCTTGCTTGGATCATCCAGGCGCAACCATCACAGCCGACCAAATCTCCGTAGTGCTACAACCCAACTCCAACAGACTGGTTCGACTCGTCCAGGCGAACCCTCTTCAACCAACCCGTTCTTCGTCTTGTTCGCGTACCTCTGGATGGGACCCGTTTGAGCAGCCTGGGTGCATCGTTTGTTTGTTCTCTCTCTTTCTAGCAACCGGCGTGCTGTTCGTGTTGCCAGAGCCCAAACCCTTGGATCAACTTTCATCTCATGGAGCCGAGTTTACAGCGTTGCTGCTCGGCGTGATACCATACGTGAGCTCCCAGAGGCTACATTGAACATCCAGAACCGACTCTAGCGTTCCTCTTCATGTTGCTTGACCTCCACGACTGCGCCCTAGCGTGGGGTGCGAGTCAGGCTCTCATGTTCCAGCTGCGGCCGACATCGTGCCCCAACACCTGCCGCAGCACAGCCCCAGTTCAGTTGACAGCTCCGGCCCAATCCAGCTTCGCTCCAGATCCATCCCCAGCTCAAGCCCAAACTGCAGACCCAGTTCCAGCTCCAGCATCGCTCAGCCCAAGCTTCAGCTTCGCTCCAGCCAAGGAGTAGACCCAGCTCCAGCTTAGCTCCAGTCCCCGCTCTAGACTTAGCCCTAGATCCAGACTAGCCTCGCTGTAGCCCTAGCCCCATCTCCAGCCCGAACCGCACATCAAGCCCTGTTTCCACCCGAGCTACAGCCCGAGCTCCAAGTCCAACGCAACTCCAGCTTCAGCTCAGCCCGAGCTCGAGCTCGATCCCGAGTTCCAGCTCCAGCCCCAACCCCATCAGGCCCAAAAAGGGCCCAGGCCACGTCAAGACCACATCCCAACTGCATTGGCAACAACCCCACCTCCAGCCCAGCTCCAGTTCCGGCCAAAACTCAAGACCAGTTCATGCCCAGTTCCTGATCCAGCTCTGACCCAGCTCCAGTTACAGCTCCACCTTAACTCCAGCTTCTGCACCAACTTCACCCCAGCCCCAGATCGAGCTCCAGATCCAGACATCTTCCGACAACCTTTTCCCTCCAGCCAAGCTCCGACCTCAGCTCCAGCCCAACCTTCGTTGTAACCTCACCTGCGCACCCCAACCCCAACTCCAACCCCATGCCCACTTGTGAGCGTGTTTTTTTCGGTGTTTCGACAGTGGGCGGAAGGGGGGAGAGAGGGGGGGGTCTGGCTCCAGACTTCTGTTTAATGCGACTGTTTGCAGCAGTGCGTCCTGTGGGGAAGGCTCCACCCGCTCGAAACAGGCGCCAAAAAACAGCCAAGATCCACTCCATGGGGGGGCAAGGGGGGGGCCCGCGCCGATCGGCAAAACGATAAAGAAAGAAACGATCACGTTCCAGTCGCAGCTGCAGCTGCCCCAGCCCATGCTCCAAGGCGGCTTTTGCTCCAACCCGAGCCCGAACCAAGTTCCAGCCCCAGCTCCGGCCCCGGCTCCAGCCCCGTCCATCCTCGTTCCAACTCCAGCCCCAAATAATACCCCACCAAACCTAGCCCCAGTTCCAGCTCGAGTTTCGTTCCAGCGTAGCTCCAGTTTCGCTACAGCTACAAGATCGCTTCAGCCTCATATATCTAGCCCCAGCTCCGGCTCCAACCCAGCTCCAATTCCCCCTGGCCCCAGCGCCGGCTTGTGCCGTGAACCCAGCCAGCTTCGAGGTAGCCCCAGCTCCACTTCCAGCCCCGACCCCAGATCGGACCCCAGCTGCAATTCCATCCCCGGCCGAACTCCGACCCAGCTCGAGATGGGAAAATCAAGGCCAATCCCAATCCCAGCACTAACCCAGTTTCCTCTATTTTTCCCAACCATCCTGTGGTGTTGGGTCCTCGTTTTGAAGAGACGTCGCCCCGCGTTCCTCGTCCTCCTTCCTCCTCCTCCCCTTCCTCCCCCCTCCTCCCCCTCCCACACCCATTCTGGCACACCCCTCACACGTTTCGTGGCCCCATAGGGAGCTCCACCGAAGGCCCCACTGGCTGCGCTCGCATGCGGTTCCACCCCCCATTCTGGCACACCCCTCACACGTTTCGCGGCCCCATAGGGAGCTCCACCGAAGGCCCCAGTGGCTGCGCCCGCATGCGGTTCCACCCCCCATTCTGGCACACCTTTCGTGGCCCCATAGGGAGCTCCACCGAAGGCCCCAGTGGCTGCGCCCGCATGCGGTTCCACCCCCCATTCGTGGCAGGCACCCCCTCACACGCTTCGTGGCCCCATAGGGAGCTCCACCGAAGGCCCCAGCGGCTGCGCCCGCATGCGGTTCCACCCCCCAGGGCACACCCCTCACACGTCTCGTGGCCCCATAGGGAGCTCCACCGAACGCCCCAGTGGCTGCGCCCGCATGCGGTTCCACCCCCCATTCTGGCACACCCCTCACACGTTCGTGGCCCCATAGGGAGCTCCACCGAAGGCCCCAATGGCTGCGCCCGCATGCGGTTCCACCCCCCATTCTGGCACACCCCTCACACGTTCGTGGCCCCATAGGGAGCTCCACCGAAGGCCCCAGTGGCTGCGCCCGCATGCGGTTCCACCCCCCATTCTGGCACACCCCTCACACGCTTCGTGGCCCCATAGGGAGCTCCACCGAAGGCCCCACTGGCTGCGCCCGCATGCGGTTCCACCCCCCATTCTGGCACACCCCTCACACGCTTCGTGGCTCCATAGGGAGCTCCTGCACAACCAATGCGCCCCACGCCATAATAGTGTACAACGTCGATTCCGATGTACACTTGGAATCGAATGCGGCACGCCTAATCTCGCAAATATGCCCTAGCTACGCTTCCACGTGTTTGCGAAGAAACAGGTCGGATGGGGCGATCGCGATGAAATAATCCAGAAGCCGCATTAAAGTGATCATTTGTTTTTTGGCCCCCCCTCTGTCACAGAGGAGGTCAAATATGCCCCCCCTCTCTCACAGAGGGTGTCTGAGATGCCCCCCCCCTCTGTCACGGAGGACCTCGTTCTGGGTGCTCTTCTGCCACGGGAGCTCCCGATACGATTGGAGACGATAAAACGTGATAGCGGGATGGGGAATTGGAGGGGGAGGGGGACGAAAACGACGAAGGAGAGGAGGCAACGACAGCACCGATGAAAGCACCGTTTCTTTTTCCTTCTCCGCTCGGGCAGCGGTCGCCGAGCACGACGGCGCGCGCGAGTCGCCGCCGCTCACGATGCATTGGCAAGGCCTCCGCTGCTGCGGAGGGTCGACGTTCGGCCGATGAGGCCTCCCTCCGCTGCTGCGGAGGGGCGGCTCCTGTGCGATGGTTCAGCTAAGTTTTTCCCAGGGATTGGTTTCGGGGGGGGGTTCGACCCACCTCCAAGTCGTGGTCGCGACCTCCCAGTGCCCCTGGCCGCTACTCCACCCACTGTGGCTGCTCCACCAGTCACTGGGGCGTTGGTCGCTGCCGAATGCAACCTGCATGTCGCGCCAGGCGGAGTCGACCATGCGGTCCTGCAGCGAGGAAGCCTCGCCGCTCGGCTGTTGCCACTCGCGCTCCTCGCCCCCCCTGGTGCGCCACCACTCATCCCTGCGCCACTCCTCGTCTGTTGGTTGCTGCCGTGGCGTTTGTGGCCTCCGCTGCTGCGGGGGCTCTGGCGGCTCGTGGCCGAGGGCAGCGATCGCGTCCGAGATGTAGATGGCGGCGCCGAGCTGCCCTCGCTGCTCCAGCGGCGCAGGCCCTGGAGATGGGCACTGCGGGGTCGGCTGCCACCTTGGGGGTGGTAACTAATAATTTCTATACCCCCCCCTGTCAACTCCCGCCCCTTCCCGACACTCATTTCCTTATGTCATCCCTCGTCCTGCTCAGCCGATTCCTCATTCCCTCTCCTCCCTCCTGCCCCCCCCGTGCCCCGCCGCCCCTCTCCCCCCCTCCCCCTTTCAACCCCCCGCCGCGACCTTCCATCGCCAGCCGCGGGCATGTCGCGGCCGTCGCCCGCGCTTTCGCCTGCCCATCTTGGTGGGGGCCACGCCTGTTGGGCGCGCTCGTCTTGCTCGTCCCTCTCGCTGAGCTGCTCTGGCGCCTGGCGCTCGGGTCCGTGCTGCTCGGGCGGCAGCGGCGCCCTGAGCGCAGCTGCCAGCTGTTTCTGGGCGCGCCTGTCCTTCTTCTCTTTGGCTCTCTCCTGCTTCCTCCCCTGCGAACGCACGCTGGCCATGCGCATTTGGAACAGGAGAGGGTAGTGGGCGCCGCCGTGCCAGCGCCCCTCCACCTCCACGGTCTCTGGCGGGAACGTCTTCTGCAACGCGCGGAAGAGGGTCACCTCGCGATTACTAGAGAAGCGGCGGTCCCCTCTAGCCTCAGCCTCGGCGCGCCTCAGTTTCTCACGCTCCTTCTCTTGGATCTTGCGTTGGCATTCCTCTGACTGAGTCAGTAAATCCTGGAGGTGCTCGCGGGCGTCTTTTTTCGGGTAGTAGCAAGAGTAAGGCATCCCAGGGCCTCCGTTCTGGCTGTGGTGCCAGTACGTCGGCTGCGATGATGGGCTGGTGGAGGCCCCCGCTGCTGCGGGGGCCTCTGCCTTGCTTCTGTTACGGTACCCGATCTCACCGATCACCGACTTGCGTGCGAAGAGCAACCCCGTCTCGTCTCTGTCGTGCACGGCGCTCAGCGGCCAGCACAGGGTGTACTCGCCAGGCCTGTTGAGAACGAAGATGCCGCAGCTGTCCAAGCACGGAGTGCCGTCCAATCCGCGCCAGAAGTACGCTGCTGCCGTCTCCAATCGCATGCCTAGACCCCGAAGACTCGGCAGCGTCTGTGTGAGCGCCATGTTGAAATCCCCACAAAAGATGTCAACGCTGTTGTCCTGCAAGATGGTCGCCAACCTCGGCCACCGTTGAAGCCTCTGGAATGTTTCGCCGTGTCGCGGTGGAGGCGCACCGCGCACGCCCGCACTTTCGAGCCGAAGTGGGCGTAGGTTTGATCGAAGTAGAGCTCAACCACCATGATCCTCGAGAACGCTTCCATCTTGCGCCCTCTTGCTGTTCTGTAGTGGCCGTCGACACTCCTTTCCCAGTGGAGCAGCCGCATTTCGTAACACAGATTTGCGCGCGCAGCGATGCACAAGGACTTGTCCTCACGCCCGCGCAGGGTCAAGTATTCGTACTCTGGTCGATTCTGGAGCTGTTG